TAAAGGCGCACCGGCTTCTGTTGCTGTATTGCCATCATTCTTTTCGAGCGCATATTCTCACAAAGATGACAAAGCATTGCACAATTCTTCAAGGTGATAATGCAATAGCTTCACAGCATCAATTCTTGACTCCCAACGAGTGTCCGATAACCCTTTAACAGATATTGGCATATGTTCTTGAAGTATATCCCAACGTGAAGGTGAAGAAGAGAAGATAACGTATATTCTGTAATCAGACCGAAAAAGTCAACGGCATATTTCGATGACTTTGCCGCGTCTGAGATCACAAGATTCCAAGTGTGAGCTCCACATGGTATATACAAGGCACGGTCATTTATTTCTAGCATGCGGGCTTGAACTCCTTTATTCTTTCCTCTCATATTTGCGCCGTTATCATAAGCTTGGCCTCTCATGTCAGCAATGTCTATTCCTAAGTTGTTTGCCTTTTCAAGAAACGCTTCCAATAAGCCCTCGCCAGCTGTATCATGAACATTAAGAAAACCAACAAACGCTTCACGAATATTGACACCATCTTCACCGTTGCATTCAACAAAGCGTAACACCACAGACATCTGTTCTTCATGTGACACGTCGGGAGTACAGTCCAAAATTACTGAATAATATTTTGCTTTTTTAAGCTGCGATATGTTGGCCTCTTGAATGTTACTGGCAACAAGTTGAATCAGCTCGTTTTGGATCTGTGGACTGAGGTACTGGACATGTGTCTCTGCCTTCTTAATCTTCTGTAAAAGTTCGCTAAGGACAATATCATACTTTACAAGCAATTCAAACAGTCCCAAAAAGTTGCCATTCGAAGGATCGCCGAGCTTTTCATTACTTCCTCGAAATGCCAAGTTTCTTTCAGACAAGAAAATAACGACATCAACCATGCGTTTGACAACATTTCTCCAGAAATCTCTTTCTTTCAGAAAAGCCTGCAATTCGAGCTGGTCAATAGATGTACGGTTTACTATGCCTGACCGAAGGTCAAACCATTTCACCATACAGTCTTGATGACCTTTGACTGTTTCATGCTGCTGAAGTCTTTTTGACAGTGCTTTCCAAGCAGATATTCCACGACGTAGCTGTATGTCGCCAGTGCCAAATAATTTACAACAAAAACAAAAAATGGCATCTTTCTGAACTGAGTACATTAACCGTGAACGTCTTATTTTCTCGCCATTTGCCATGGTTCGATAGAAATGAGTACTTGTGAACCTCCATCTTTCCTCGTTAAATGGAAATTTGTAACTTTCATTCTGCTGCTGTGGGCCACGTGCAACAATGTCACACACTTGCCTGTCCGATATTATAGACGGCCAATCTCCTGGATCATCAGTCAGTGATTCAGATTCAGATACTTCTTTCCCGGCAGCAGCTGGAATATCTGTCACAGTTTGTTTGGTAGAACAACTGGCTTCACCTTCGACCTCACTTGAAGCACTTCTGGATACGATTCGTCGCTGCTAGCGCTGTCCGTTTCTTGTGCCTATACCTGTACGTTGGATTGCAGCGCAAAATACGTTGACAACTTTGGAATTTTCTCAAGTTCCTTCTCGGCATCTTTTGCTGCCTTTCGTTTACTAGCTCCGCTCTTATACATTCTCTTAGACATCACAAAGCACGCTTCTGCGTTGGAAACGAATCGTTTCAAACGATAAAAAATTAAACAACTAAATTAATAATAATTATCCGCCGACCGCCATTATGATCGCAAATACACATTCTTTGAATAGGTCCAACTAAAATTCGAAACTGACCGACAGACAACTGATGTAGCCAATAGCATTATGATGTATCATAATGACTTCACGGTTTTGTCAGTAAAACTGACATGGATTGTGCAATAGCATCAATAAATGTCACTTACCTAGTTATACCTTACATTTTTTTTGCCACTTTTGGGGGCCCCCTTCCTTGCGGGGCCCCCTCCGGTCGGAGGGTACGGAGGGCGCTTGCTACGCCTCTGTCCCCCACTGCTGGTCTGACCATTTGTAGGGGAATAAATCCCCGCTGAGCAGGGCAGCCCCCCTCACCCTCCCTTACCCCAATGGGCGGGGGAGCTGCCTTGTATCTCTCCTCCCCCCCCCCCTTATCCCTGCCCCCCGGGCTCTCCCTTCCGCGGCCAGTCTCCTCACAGCCTCCCCTCCCCACATCCCCCACTTTCCTTCGCAGTGCCCCCCCCGCTTACATCTTCCCTCTATTCCAGCTTCCTTCCCTCAGCCCCATAATTCCCCCTCTGCCCCCTGATCACCCTGCATCGCCCCAAAGTCCCTTCAGTGCAATCACCGCCCCCTGCCCACATCCCATCCTGCCCCCGGCCTCACACACCCCTGTCCCCCCTCAATCCCCTCTTCAGCCCCCTCTGCACCCCCAC